TAATAAAAACGTTTTAAATGCTAAAACACGTCCGTACAAGTCGATACCTAATACCTATGATCAAACAGCGCAGTAGTCGGTATTCCGACGCTTTGCAGTTTATATGCACTAATACGAAGTCGATCTATCGACGGTTCGCACTCAAAGGCTTAAATATATTTCGACAACGATGAGTAATCAGTAACAGTCTCATCTTTATTCTTTACGTATTCTTCTATTCCACACAGAAGTTTCATCGCGTACTATAATTAAACAGTGACTTCCTCGAAATGCTAACATTTTCTCGTGAATCCAGTCGGTTAGTCGCCGCGTTGTGTTTGCTCACAACTGACGCCGCCGCAGGACCCGACGCGAGTGTTCTAGGATAATACGGTGCCTAAAAAGACGTGTAGACGAAAGCGTATTTCTTATGACGTCTTCGGTTCAAATATTTAACACACAAAAAAACCGCGAAATCATGTTACTTGAATTTCGAATTTGCACGTTCTAGTCACTTTGATTGAAAAAAATGGAATGCGTCAGAAAAGAGTTGAATACGTAGAAATTTCGTAAACCGAAACAGGAAGCCCATTCGAAAATGGAACGCGTGTCATTCTCCCTTTCGTCAGCGCGCGAAAGTGCACAAGTCCAGTGACACGTGACCTGCGTTTGTTCTATTGACGTTCCGTTGTCTGTTGTAATTGAGTCGTCTATTATCAAAGGTGGCAATCTGTGCATTTGGACAAAAAAAAATTATTGATATGTCAATACAGATTGATTTGAATATAATCGTCTCCTTCAAAGAATACGGTTCAAAACCTGCATTAAATAAAGGTTAATACTTAACCTGTTATTTATCTAAGATGTCGTTCAGAAGATTTTTGTGACTGCCAATGGAATACAAAGTCAATAATTCGTTTTTCTGATTTACCAATAATTGTCCAAAAGTCAAATTGCCGGCTTTGATAATAGTCGACTCAATTATGTATGCGGTTTGTACAATGCTCACAAACCATACTACAGGTCAAGTTAGAGCGGTGTTCTCACTGACGTGTTTTCACGGGATCTGAATGCGTTCTTGAGAACATGTCCGCCATTGTTGTAGTCTTCGCAAACAATGCACGCAACTTGTGATTCATAATTGACATTTTAATACGAGGTTACGTGTTTAATGGATTGTTAGAGAGGATAAATAGGTCGTATTCATTTTTGAAATATTTTATAAGTTTCGTAATTTGTATTCGGATGTGTATGTTTTTTATACGTGACAATTATATTATTATGCAATGGTATGAGATGGTTGCCCGCATTAAAATAAAAAGTATATATAAACCAAATTCAAGTATTTGCATTTGGAACTTACATAAGTATTGTATTTAAGTTGGTGGTTTTTTTTTTTTTAATACTTTGGTGTGACCTCAAAGTCTTGCGGATATGAGCGGTCTCCATAAACTATGAGCAATATCAAAGTCAAATAGTTTATGTACCTGAATAAACATAACATTTAAGTATACATATTATTGATTTCATTTATGACGAAAATCTATGGAATTGCAGTTTTTAAATTAGAATTACAACTTAAATTACAAGTCTTCTAAATCTCAACTTGCTCAAGGCGAATATTTGAAACGAAACAAAATACTCTTCATTTGTCTCTTCCAAGTGCGATGACTATTTTAAGGATTAGCAAAAAAATTAGTTTCTAACATTTTATAAGTATTCCCACGTATTTTGAATGAACAAAAAATATGCTTTTTTTTCTTTCTTTTTTTTCTTGCATTATCATTCCGAGTCGTATCAAAATTGAAATATAAAATTTACAAGTAACTCATCAGTAAGATCATTTTAAATTGACTTTAAATAAAATTATAAACTAAACATTATAATAAAACGTTTATATTCCAATATGGCGTCATATTGAGAATTATAACTCCATATATTTTTATTTAGCAATTAGCAAACTTTTTTTTAGAAAACAATGAACCTAGTACAGGCCTGGCCTTGAACTCCTGTCGCGCTTACTAACCAAAAGGTCACAAGTGCAATGTTTACTACAATCCTAAACTGATCTCTATTTACTTTATAATTATGAGTGTACTTGCATGACTCATATGCTTGTCCGTGTATCTGTGTCGTCTGAGCTGTCTTTCGTCAGACATTTTTTTTTTCTCCGCAATGTCACAGATTATATTTATTATTAGGTTTAGTCTGAGGAGTTTTTTTTTTTTATTTCGAATATTGGATAGTTTTAAGATATTCGAAGTGTAATTATTAAATTGTAACAATCTTTTTTTTTGCTTTTTTTTTTAATTGCTTTGATGGATGGGCGAGCTCACAGCCCACCTGGTGTTAAGTGGTTACTGGAGCCCATAGACATCTACAACGTAAATGCGGCCCCCACCTCGAGATATAAGTTCTAAGGTCTCAGTATAGTTACAACGGCTACCCCACCCTTCGAACCGAAACGCATTACTGCTTCACGGCGGAAATAGGCGGGATGGTGGTACCTACCCGTGCGGACTCACTAGAGGTCCTACCACCAGTAATTACGCAAATTATAATTTTGCGGGTTGGATTATTATTACGAGATGTCATTCCTTCACCGTGGAAGTCAATCGTGAACATTTGTTGAGTACGTATTTCATTAGAAAAATTGGTACCCGCCTGCGGGATTCGAACACCTTCGAACCTTTTAGACTTCGGTTCTCGCCAGTCATAAGACATAATCAAAATTACTAATTCGATTTAATTTCATAAAATGAATAATCGAAAAATCGGAAATAATGTAATGATGATTTTAATTTAAAATATGCGAGATTAAAGCGTGAAAGTAGTTGGACATACATACATTATGTTTGTAAAATTTGTTCTACGCTCAAACAAGACTGCGAATGTACAAAATGTATGATATTCAAAGTTTTATTTAGGATAGCGACCCGCCCTCGCTTCGCTTCGGAAACATTAAAACACACATGAAACCAAAAAATAATATAAAAAAAAATATAAAAAAAGTAGCCTATGTTCATCAGGGACAATGTCGGCTTCTAATGGAAAAAGAATTTTTCAAATCGGTCCAGTAGTTTCAGAGCCTATTCGAAACAAACAAACAAACAAATCTTTCCTCTTTATAATATTAGTATAGACTAGCTGACCCGGCAGACTTCGTAGTGCCTCAATCGATAATCTATACTATAATAATAATAATAATATTATAACGAAAGAGGAAAGATTTGTTTGTTTGTTTGTATTGAATAGGCTCCGAAACTACTGAACCCATTTGAAAAATTCTTTCACTGTTTGGAAACTACTCTATTCCCGAGTGACATAGGTAATAATCTTTTTTAAAAAACATTTGGGTTCCGTACTAAAATCCCAATAATGTTGCCCAAGGTGTAAAAAAATTACCTAAAATATTCTTTACATCGCGTGCCCAGCGAAAGCTATTGATGATAGAATAAAATAATGTACTACGACTTTGTAGAACACATTATTATTTACAAAAAGTGTCACGACAGCATGTGTCTAACTATTATAAGTGTTTTTTTTATTTAAAAAAAATAAAACAACGTCAAATATCTTAAAGACCCGAGCGGAGACGGAGCGGGCCGGTAGTCGATAAATAAAAGACCTAAACTTTTGTATAAAGTAAACATAAAACAAACAAAAGGAATCCGTCCGGAAAATTGTTATTTTTATTTAATTCCGAGCATTTTCATATTTATCTACCTTTTAAAACTTCTCTGGACAAATAATTCAAGACCAAAATTAGCCAAATCGGTCCAGCCGTTCTCGAGTTTTAGCGAGACTAACGAGCAGCAATTCATTTTTATATATATAAAGATAGAATAGATAGACTAGATGTACACTGCAGTACAACTAGTGACGGACGTAATTTGAATCAATTGTTTTTCTTGGCGCAATGAAATAAATCAGAGTATTAATAATTGTGATGACGTCACTACCATTTAAATTTGCCCATGATAATTTCATTTTGACGCTCCTTGTGTAGTACTAGTTCTAACGGGCTTAAATTTCAATAAACAATTGAACCCGCGACGCGAATACGTTGAATGAAAACTGAGATCACGTTGTACTGGTTCATTCGACACTCGATTATCGAAAATACAATTTGAATTATTCGTAAAATTTTCGGGCCCCCGCTAATTATGGAGAGTTGAAACGTTTATTTTGAAATTTCTTTTATTTTCTTTTACTGGTGGTAGGACCTGTTGTGAGTCCGCGCGGGTAGGTACCACCGCCCTGCCTATTTCTGCCGTGAAGCAGTAATGCGTTTCGGTTTGAAGGGCGGGGCAGCTGTTGTAACTATACTGAGACCTTACAACTTATATCTCAAGGTGGGTGGCGCATTTACGTTGTAGATGTCTATGGGCTCCAGTAATCACTTAACACCAGGTGGGCTGTGAGCTCGTCCAACCACCTAAGCAATAAAAATAAAAAAAATTATAAATTTTCTTTATAAATTTCCGGAGAAGTCGTTTGATATTCTAAATAATAGATAAACTGAAAATGTGATTAGCAATTATGTTTTTTTTTTTTTAAATTACGTCATCTTACTTTTAATTTTTATTGGATAATTGTTGACCATCAACAGCCCAATTTAGTCCATTGTCGGACTAGACACGGCGTCTTCCTTAGTGCCACAGAGCTCAGTCTAAGAATTCCAAAAACGAAATACCTTTTCAGCCATCTCGTCCCCGCTTGTCTTGTGGCCTAACCTATGCTTTCTCAAAACAACTCTATACCTTTATAATTAAGTTTCATATCAAATATTCATCGTCTTAGACCGAAAATAAACGAGCTGCATTTCTCTGGAAGTGCATTTTTTCTTTTTTTATATTTGAGTTTCTCTCTCTCGTGCTTCTAAATATAAATGTGGCCTCGCGCCAGTGCGCGACTGTTCACCGCGACGTTCAGTTCGTTAATGTGAATAATAATAATAAATACAGCTTAATATAAACATGAGGAGCGTATGTATCTTAAATTCTGTGTTCTAAATATTAAAATCGAATTTTAAATTCTTTTTAAACAGAGAACAACATTAGGGTTCCGTTCCGGCCAGTGACAAATTTCGAAGTTATTCGGGCAAGTTCGAACAAACTAATTATACAAGATAAGGACATGCCAATGCAGTGTATGCCCGCGACGCGTTTAGTTCTAAATTTGAACTTGGAATTTTTTTAAATTCGGCATCCCCCTTGTGGACCACAGACAGTGATACAGTGTTTTTTTTTTTGACAATAGTGTTGCGTGATTAATGATTGTAAAACGGATGAAAGAAAATGGGGAAAAAGAAGAAAAATAACACGAAGAAGGCTGGCAACAGATTCTTTCGTTGGATTAGAAGGTAAAATTTTGACACATAAATATTAAAATGATGTAACTAAATCATATTTTTCCGTTCTAACTGATGTTATTGTTTATGTGACGCATGTTTAATAAAATCTTTTTTTTTTCTCTTTGATTTTTTTGTATATTAATCATAAAATAACGAGACTGTCCCACTTTTCATGTAAAATAATAACATACTGTACTTAGAGAGCAATAAAATAGTAGTTTAAATAACATATTAAACTTTCGAAATAAGACTTTTTTTTTTTTATCTCTTAGATGGGTGGACGAGCTCACAGCCCACCTGGTGTTAAGTGGTCACTGAAGCCCATAGACATTCACAACGTAAATGCGCCACCCACCTTGAGATACCAGTTCTAAGGTCTCAAGTATAGTTACAACGGCTGCCCCACCCTTCAAACCGAAACGCATTACTGCTTCACGGCAGAAACAGGCAGAGTGGTGGTACCCATCCGCGCGGACTCACAAGAGGTCCTACCACCAGTAATTACGCAAATTATAATTTTGTGGGTTTCATTTTTATTACACGATGTTATTCCTTCACCGTGGTAGTCAATCGTGAACATTAGTTGAGTACGTATTTCATTAGAAAAATTGGTACCCGCCTGAGATTCGAACACCGGTGCATCGCTCAACACGAATGCACCGGACGTCTTATCCGTTAGGCCACGATGACTACAGAATGAAATAATTCCTTAGGAATGTACCGTAAATATAATTAGAGGATATAAAATGGAGATTTCAAATATTCAGCAACAATTATGACTTCCTCACTAGTGAATATTAGTGCTTTGAGAACCGTGTCACCGCTAAATAAACGTCATATCTGCTAAAAAAGAGATACTTAAAGGATTAAACCTATTCCGGCCACACGAGGTTTGCCGTGTAAATAAATTTTATTCGCCAATTTTGTGTTTCATTCGGTTATGATATGTTATTATAAAAGATTTAGTTAACACCAAGTCTAGGTACCTTAATCATTGATGTTATGTCGCGATTAGTTTCCTTCGTTTTTTGCTAATCCTAAACTGTAAATAATGAAAACGGCGAATTATTAAAATCTTATTAATTGACACTGGCTAATGCACAAACCGTGCAGGAGCCAAAAAATAAACAAGGAAGAAAGTCCATTCGTTTTTCTGACCCTCGCATAGCGCTACTAAACGCTGACGTGCAGTGAAATGAAAACGCAACGTACATACATATCGACAGGTGATTTTCTCGTCATACAGAGCTTGACTCGAACCCAGTAATTAGATAACAAATGGCGCCAATTCAACGCTTCGATTCCCGTTGAATTGCCCGGAAAACGTAGAGTGTTACACATAAATCGTTCGTAATGTTTAATTAGTTTCTAATCTAGCGTACACTTAAACGTAGCGAAGTTTCGTTGCGACTGGTTTATTTATTTATACTAGTGGTCCACACAGCAGTGGTCGAAATTCGACTATAATTTGTAACTATACTGAGCACCTCATGTGAGTCCGCACGGGTAGGTACCACCACCCCGCGTATTTCTGCCGTGAAGCAGCAATGCGTTTCGGCTTGAAGGGTGGGGCAGCCGTTGTAACTATACTGAGACCTTCGAACTCTTATCTCAAGGTGGGTGGCGCATTTACGTTGTAGATGTCTATGGGCTCCGGTAACCACTTAACACCGGGTGGGCTGTGAGCTCGCCCATCTATCTAAGCATTAAAAAAAGCTACATTTATCGACGTGAGCTTTATTCGGGGACAATTATCTATCGAAACGATGTCTATAGCATATGCGCGAACCGACCTAAAGCTGTTCGGTTACAAAAGCTCCGTCCGCTTAGGGACATAAAGTCGTTTCTCGACGTGGGAGGACAGACAGGTATAACGCTGTTACCATACTAAACGTTAATTCTTTTTCGACTACCCACACATTTTAAAATTGCAAAATACTATGTTTATTTTGGTCATTTGGCCTTGCGCGGCCTGTGTTCGATCGCAAACGACATGTTAACCGGTTTGTTTCATTTCTGGTATCATTGGGGCTATTCCAACTTCTCGCGGATGGGTGGGTGAGCTCACGGGTTCAACCTGGGAGAATTTGCTAATACTAGTCCTTAGCAAGAGCAATGCTTCACAGAATCTACCACCAGATCAGAATCGCGACCCACTGAGAAGATCTGACGAGAAACTCAGAGGTTGTGTCTATGGGGTGGGCGATGTTAGAACGTTGTGGACCCGTATGATTTCGTTTATACCGTAATTTCGCACCTACGTGTGGGATTTGAACACTGACATAGTTGCTACCCTTGATGCGAGCAAACTGGACCTCTAATCTCTTAGGCCACGGCAAACATCGTACTTCTATCTTCAAAATCAACTTTTAGTGTTCGGTTTTAAACAACCAACTTCACCAAAAAAATCTCTTGTTTTTTATTTGGCTTTTAAAATTTCCAATTCTAGTTTCGGTAATCATAAAGTAAGTACCTGATGCAGGACGTTAGACATTAAACCCTAAATTATGTTTAAGCCTGATTTTATACACGCAATTAACTGCGAAGAATTGCATGACATCGTCCAGACAACCAATAGATAGAGAGAAGGTTAATTGCCTATCCGAAGACAATAAGAATGACGTAATAATAATAATGGAGTATTGTACAGCATCCGGCCATTATGTAATTCAATTACAATATGTGGATTAAATTTTGGTCTACACTAAGTCATTTATAGAATAACATTCCAATATTCAGCTGCTAGTATGATGATACTGTTGTCATTAAAACTTTAAACTATGGAGAGTATACTTGGGCGACGCGACTAAGTCTACTTTTTTTCCTACCTATGCTGGTAACTTTGAGGGGTCTTGCCAGCTTCGCCGAGTGACTAGGTAAACTCATAGGGCTCTAACCTGACGTCGTTGCTAACACTAAACGTACTACCCACTAAACGATTTTTTCCCTACATTATTGCTGGTGGCCTTGAGGAGATATTTTAGCTTCATCACGGGTTTGGCGGGCTTGAAGAGCTTGCTAACACTGACCCTAGCAGTGCTTCGCAGAATCTACCACAGGATCGAAAACGCGACCCACTGACAAGATCTGGCGAGACACTCCGAGAGCTGTGTCTGTGGGTTAAATTACTCGCCAAGCCCTTCGTCCCAAGCGACGGGTTCGACGAGAACGATGACCGGATGTTAAAATAATACAATTATTTTAGTATATCTGACAAACGCAGTGTGGGACGACCACCTACCAGAGTACCGACGACCTAGTGAAAATGGCTGAATCACTTTGGGTGCAGGCGGCAACAGACTGGCCGCACTGAAGGTTGATTGGGGAGGCCTATGTTCAGCAATGTACAACTATAAACTGAGATGTCAAGTGAGATTGAGCTGTCATCGAAAGACGTCTTCAAATTTTCAAGTTAAAGTCTTAAACTTAGTGAAGATTACGTATTTTTGTATTGCCCTTGTAGACAGATGAACGTACGGCCCACCTAATGGTGAGCGGTTATCGTCACCCATGAGCCTTAGTAATACCAGGGGCAGAGCCAAGCCGCTGCCTACTGTTAAGTACTCTCTGCAAGCCTGGTTTGAAGAAGGACATGTCATAGCGCTCCGGAAACGCCGTGGAGGGGAGCTCATTCCAAAGTCGGATGATACGTGGCAAAAATATATCTGGAAGCGCACTGTGGATTCTGTGGACACTGTGGTGCGCAAGTTGGTAGATTCCGTTACATAGACAGATACAAGACAAGCTAATATTTTGCGTGTTAATAACAATTACGTAAATAAATACATATATAGATAAATAATAAACACCCAGAGGAAGAGCAAACAAACCTGTTCATCACACGAATGCTTGCCCGATGCGGGAATCGAACTCACGAACCCCCGACGCAACAGTTGGGCCGCTAATTACTGCACCATCGAGTTAGTATTAATCATATTAGAACTACTTTTGTTGGTTTGATGATGTTACGTAAAGCTTCAAAACGAACAAAACAAAACGAAGCATTCGAAACATAGGAAATAATAATATATTGATAATAAAAAAAAACTAAAATATATTCTTACAACATTTTAAGGATATTATGAGTATGTCGGAAAAGCCACAATTATTAGCACCATCGTAGGGGCGAATAGGGTGATCGAGCCAAGAGAACTATTGAGTACAGCAAACACGTTTGTTGTCTTAGAACAATTTAGAAATCTCCTCTTGACGTTAGCAAACGAAAACGAATGACAGTTCTTAGGACGGAGGCACCGCTCTTCGAGAAGGCTGGTTGATAAGTGTGATGGCGTCTACGCACCCTTCTATCGGCTAGGCTCTGTCGTAGCTTGAAGGTAGCCGAGTTCCGACGATACCGCGATCGAGCTGCCATCTCTCGGGAATCGTGCTACGACTAGCTACCAAACTAATGGCCATCTCCGATAAGTAGGTTTTTTTTTTCCTACCTAAGCTGATAGCCTTGAGAGGCTATATCAGCAGAACCTTAACTAGTAGGTGAGCTCACGGGGCTCAAACCTGACGACGTTGCTAACACGAACCCTAGCAAGAGCCGTGCTTCGCAGAATCTACTGCCGGATCGGAAACGCGACCCACTGAGAAGATCCGGCGAGAAACTCAGTGGGCTGTGTCTGAGGGTTAATTCACTCGTCGAGCCCTTCGTCGCAAGCGACGGGTTCGATGAGAACGGTGACCAGTGCTTGAGGTACCTAAAAGCACCGTTAGTGGATCGGGAGGATCCGAAATGACGTGTTTGGGGCGACGTCGACTGCTTTCCATTCTTTCCGCAGGATCGGGAATGTAGTTACCGGCGGCCACGATGAGAGGGCTCTCGTGTCGTGTCGCTTTATCGAAGTGGCGTAAGTAGGTATTTAAAATTTTGTAAATCTATACGTGACTTATACTCGATTTTCTTATTCAGCCACAGAATGATTTATATACGAATATTAAATATCTTACGACACACACTAAAACTTGTGTAATTAGCAGCCGACCTTGGATATCGGTCGATA